CTCAGTTTTCTTTGACCTGCCTTTCTGTGGGTTACTTAAATATTTTTTGGAATTCTGTTTTGAGTTATCTATAGTATTTTTTAAATGTCTCTCTTATATACCTTTTTTAGTGGTTGCTCTAAGTATTACATAATTTATCACAGTCTTCTGGTGTCATGTTACCAATTTGGGTGAAGTATAGAAACTTACCTCCCTTTACATCATTTTACCCTCCTCCGTTTATAATATAATTGTCATAAATATTTTCTCTACATACATTTAGAGCCACATCAGACAGGGTTATAGTTTTTGCTTCAACCATCAAACATAATTTAGAAGATTCAAGAGGAGAAGATTCTATTGTGTTACTTATATCTTTGCTTACTGTGTTCTTTCTTCCTTCCTGATGTTCCAAGATTATTTCTTTTATTGTTTCCTTTCTGTGTAGAAAACTTCTTTTAGCCACTCTTTTAGGCTAGGTCTCCCAGCAACAAATTCTTCCTTCATCTGAGCATGTCTTGACTTCTTCTTCATTCCTGAAGTATATTGTCACTGAATATAGAATTCTGGGTTTGTAGTTCTTTTCTTTCAGCACTTGAAAAAAAGTTGTGCCACTTCTTTCTGTCCTTCTGGTTTCTGATGAGAAATCCACTGTCATTCAAATAATTTTTCCCCTATAGGTAAGATAAGATGTTTTTCTGGCTGCTTTCAAAATTTTCTTTGTCTTTAGTTTTCAGACATGTAATAATGATGTGTCTCAGCATGGATTTCTGTGGTTTTGTTCTGTTTCTTGCCTTTTGAATGTGTTGGCTTATGTTTCTTCCCAGATTTGGGAAGTTTTTAGTCATTATTTCCTCAAGTACTTTGTAAGCCTCACCCTCTTCCCCCTCTCTTTCTGAGACTCCAATGATACAAATGTTAAATCTTTTTATTATAGTCCCACAGATCCCCTAGTCTCTGTTCATTTTTATTTTCAGTCTATTTTCTCTCTTGTTGTCAGATTGGGTAATTTCTATTGTTCCTTCTTCCAGTTCACAGATTGTGTCCTTTTCCTCTTCCATTCTGCTATGGAGCTTTTTATTTCAGTTGCTGTATTTTTAAATTCTAACATTTCCTTTTGGTTCTTCTTTATATCTTCTATTTCATTGCTGAGACTATTTTTTCCTTTATTTAAAGTGTGCTCATAATTGCTTGTTGCAGCATTTCTATCATGGCTGCTCTGAAATCTTTGTCAGATTATTTAACATTTCTGGCATCTCGGTGTTTGACCTATTGACTGTCTTTTTTCACTGAGTCTGAGATCTTCCTAGTTCTTAGTGTCAAGAGTTATTTTTTATTGAATCCTGGACATCTTGGTGTTATGTTATGAGAATCTGGATCCTGTTTATATCTCTGTCTAGTTGTCTCTCTCTGACACCACTCCAGCAGGGGTATGGGGACATTGCCTTGGCACTGCCAGGTGAGGGTTAATATCTGCCTGGTTCCTGCTGGGTAGGGGTTAAAGTCCGGGTCCCCACTCAGCCTCCATTGACAGGGGAGGTGGGGCTCTTCATTCCTGCTGGGTGGGGGTGGGAGTCCTGGCTCCCCACCGGGCCTCCTGGCTCCCGACCGGGCCTCCATGGATACCTCCCTGACTGGGAGGGGTAGAAGTGCCTTGCTGCTGCTCCCCACGGCCTCCACTGACACTATGGGGCGGGGTGACCTCTTGATCTCTGGGTGGTGGTGAAAGTCCTACTGTCCACTAGGCCTCCTCTGACAGCACTCCAGTGGCAGTAGGGGGGCAGGAAGGAGGGTGCCTTTTTACTGCTGGGTGGAGGTGCAAGTCAGGCTCTCCAGTGGTGCTACTGACGCTGCAGGCAGGGGCTGTGGCTCATTACTGCTTGCAGGGCATGAAAGTCTCAGCTTTCTACTTGGCTTTCTCTGATGTCATCTTGGTGGGAAGGTTGTGGCACTTCATTACAATCTGGTGAAGGCAAGAATTTAGGGTCCTGAGCGGCCTTTGCTGGTGTGAGAAGGGATGGTGTTTAGCTGGGGAAAACAGTAGTTATTGTCTCAAAGTGTCTCTGTCTTGCTGGCCTTCCCCTTTGACTAGAGACATAAAAGGCTTTTGTTGGGGTGGAGTTTTTTGTTTTTAATCTGTGTCCATTGGTGTTTCCTGGTTGCTGGCTTCTTCAAGCTCCAACTCTGGGAATTTGAGGCATATAGGAAACTTACCACTTCGTTGTTCCTTGGCACCCAAGGTCCCTAGCTGGTCTGCCTTCTTCTCTCCACCTTTCAGAGTCTCCTTATGTTTGTTTTATATTTAATGTCCAGAGTTTTTAGTTGTATTTAGTGGAAGGAATAGGGAAAAATACATTTATTCCATCTGCCCAGAAGTTCTGATTTTCTTCTTATACATATCAAATGGATGACCTGGCAGACTATGAAACAAAACCTTCCTATGTGCTATATTTAAACAAATCTTGTTGATATTAAAATATTGTGAATCCAGTCCTCTTTAATATTATAATACTGTTTACAAACTTAGCCAAATACTCTTGCATCTGCCCATCTAAAATTGTAAGTCAGTTCCATTCACTGTCTAAATTGGAATCACCACGTAATGAATTAGATTCTCTAATATGCTGAAACTATGTAAACATTACAAGGACTTTCGATAACAAACATAAACTGGATATTCTTAAACCTAACTTTAAACATGGAGAGAACAGATTGTCGTCTCAAGCACGCTGAGGTTACTGGGCAGACAATGCAGTGCCTCTATTACCGTCTCAGGCAGGGTGAGGTTGCTTAGAGTAAGAAGTGACACTGGGACACTGGCTCTGCGGCTTCAGGTGCCAGCGTGACCCTACCGTGGTAAGGAAAGGTGCCCTGGGTTGTGATTTAGGGTCACTATGGCAGCAGAGGACTCTAGGTCCATCCCTTCAGATGGGACTGTGCAACCTCACGTCACCCACATTCAATCCTTTCATAATCTTTCAGTCGTACCTCTCATTTCAGATGAAATTCTACAGCACACACCTAGCACGCTTCTCTACCTGATTGCATTCATCCAGTTTATTTAATTCCTGACTTCTCTATCTGGCTACTGGCCACAGTGCCAAGCAATTCTAATGACATTCTAAAGACGGAAACTCTTAATCTTATGGTGTTTAAGAGCATGGGCGTGGCAGTCAGGCTAGATCTGTTTTTGAGTGAGTTCCAACTCTGCACTCAGGAGCTGGGCACCCTCGGCTAAACCTCAGTTTATTCCCCTACAATAAGGGCAACAATCCTCATCTGAAGGGGCCGCAGCAAAGATTAAATGCATGCAGTTTAGATGGCGGCTTTGTGTAAATAGTAGTTATCTTCACTTTCTCAAGCCTGTACGTTGTGTCACTCATTTGTTTTCAGCAGGCTGACTAGTTTTTGCGGCTTCCGGGATGAACACGATTGCCTCTTTTAGGTCTTTCCATGGCTTTCACAGTCTCTTTCATCTCAATCTGTTGTGACTTGGAAATCAGGTTTTCTTTGATTTCCTTGGGAATGTGAAGCAGTTGTTAACTGAAATTTTCCTCTCTTTTCTCAAGAGAATCGTCTGATATCCTCTTACCCTCTGTCTTTTTCCTGCTGCGCTCTTTTTCTTATTTTTCCTGTAGAATTCTGCGTGTCCTTTGTGCTGCTTTTCTTCTATTTACTCACCTCTGACTGGGGACCATTCTATCCTCACGTGCTGTTTGTCCCAAAATAGTGTGGGGACATCACTTTGATGCCCTTCCCCTTATCTAGGCATCCTTTGATGACCTCCACAGATGGTGGAGGCCTGCAGGCTGACACCTTCTTCTGTTCAGCCTCTGAGTTACTCGAAGAGGGTGTGGTAGACCTGGGTTCACAGGCAGCCTTCCTCTCTGAGCTTTGTTTCTGAGGTTCTCTGAATGTTGAACTCCTCTATCACAGGCCAGCTCTAAAGAGGTGGGGTTTTTTGTTTGTTTCCTGGGTTTTCAGTTTGTTCGTCCACTTTGGGAAGAGATGGCCACTTTATTGAGAAAGTTGGGCCTTTATTTTCTTATTCAGCATGCATATTTCTTCCAGGTCATATCTGCTAAGTGGGCTTGCCTCCCGCCTTCCAGCTCCCAGTCAAGGAAGCCTGGTCAAATAAAACAGCGCCATTGTGTGGCCATCAGCATTCTCTCGAGGCCTGCTCCCACTTCAGTCACGCCAGTGTGGAGTGTGGGTGGGGCTGGCAAAGTCAGAATCCAAATGAGTTCCCCAGTTCTTCTGCTGCTCTCTCCCTCTGCCCCCCAACGGCCTTGATGCCTGCTAGGCTGGAGGCTGGGGCAGGGGCCCTGTCAGACCTTTGGAATCTCCTCTCACAACCATGACCGAAAAGGAGATTCATGACTTGGCTCCCTGAGTTCTCTTTGCATTTGGTTTTGTCTTTATTATGGGTCCTTTTTATTCTTGAAATACTATCTTTCCAGATAGTTTTTGTAAATGTGATACAATACCACCATCTTTTTTAGAAATACTCTGGGAAAAATTGCAAGAGAACAAAATGTATCTTAAGTTTTCTCCATTTTTCTGTCCCAGGCCTCTTCTCCCAGCTGGCCTTTTGAGGCACACTCTCCTTCTGACTGCTCACCCGTATCCTACTGCAGGACCCGCTCAGACTGCCCCACCCTTGCACTAAATTCTGGGTCTTAAATGCTGTTAGCTCAGGGCCCTGCTTTGCTCTGGGCTTCTGAATTCAGGATGACCAAGAGCTTACATTTCAGCACTTTTCAGGGAAGAGGAGGATTGCAACCCTGGCCTCCATCCCAAGGGCTGTCCCATAGCAAGAATTTCAGGTCCTATTTAAGGTGGGTGCTAGAGTTATTTGCGGATGTAGCAAGGTGGTATAATTTGATGGTCTACAAATCACCATACTAGTGGCTACCCCGCCCTGTTCCCACAAGGCTAGTACAGCCTGTCAGTAAGTGACGTCTTGGTGTGAGTTGGACCTTTTTACAGGTTTCATCAGTGAGGCCCAAGGACAGGCAGTGATGGCAAAGGGTGAGGAAATACTTGGTGCCCCGAAGCGTCCTTCCTCCTCATTCCTCTGTTACGTCCCTAGGGAGGGGAACAATGTACCGGAAAATGTAGGAGCCACTCGAAAGTGTTTGCTGGACTTAATTGATCCTCGAAGAGACTGCTCTTAAGGGCAAAAAAAATCAAAAGCACGCCCCTCTGCGTTTCTGCGATGCCTCCCCCGGGCCGCGCGGGGGCGCTGTGGCTCCGCCGAGGCCCGGCTCGGGGTGGCGCGCAGCGTCGCGCAGGCTGCTGGGGACCCTCCGGGCGGCGGCGGCGACGCGCGGGGCGGCCGCGGTGAGTGCGGCGGGCGGGCCCCGCGCCCTGCGGCCTCCGGCTCCCGGCTGCGGAGGGCCGGGCGTGCCCGCCGGGCAGGCCCGAGAGCCCCGGGGAGCGCTCGAGCGGCCCAGGGGACCGTCCCTCGCCCCGCCGCCGCCTGGCCGGGGCCCTGGGCACGTCCCTTGCCCGCCTCGGAGCCTGGCTCCTCCGAGGGGGAGGCAGAGGAGAGACCTTGGCCGCGAGGGGCTCTCAGCGCCCACGGTGCGGGGCCGGGGGTGGGCGCGGGGCCCGCTCTAAGCCCGGCCGTGTCGTCTGCTCCCCAGGCTCTCCCTCTGTCACCCTGGCCCTGCTCTGCTTGGACGGCGTCTTCCTCTCCGCGGCTGAGAATGACTTTGTGCAGCGCATCCAGGAGGAGCTGGACCGCTTCCTGCTGCAGAAGCAGCTGTCAAAGTGAGCGGGGGCGAGGGAGCTGGAGGGGCGGCGGCCGGGGCCGCTCTGCTGCGAGCCAGCTGTGCCCCCTTCCCCGGGCATGCATCCGTGGTAACTGGTTCGCAGCTGTCCCTGACCTTGGCGTTTAGGTTTAATAATTTGCTCTCTGGCATCTTTCCTGTGTAATTCTGAGTATCACCCCAAGACTGAAGGGACCCAGAACAGGAATGGGCATGGGACCAGTAGCTCCCTGTGATAACCTCTATGTTCAGGCCCTTTGTAGTTGGCCGGGGGCCCACGGGGGCAGAGGGAGCCTAAGTGTTGAGCTACTTTTAAACTAGGTGTGGACCTGGTGGGGGTCAGACCCCAGGGTCCGCACATGGAGCCGCTGCTCAGCACTCCTTCCTGTCCCTTCCCAGGGTACTTCTTTTCCCCCCACTCTCCAGTCGCCTCCGGTACTTGATCCATAGGACAGCAGAGAATTTTGATCTTTTGAGCAGCTTCTCTGTTGGGGAGGGCTGGAGGAGGAGGACGGTCATCTGTCACCTGGACATCAGGTGTGTATCCTACCACCTTGGAGGGCCCTCAGTGTTTCCTTGTGGGTGGTTGGGTGAGCTGGTCAGCCCCCAGGAGGGTGGAGCTTGTCAGGATCCAGGGCGGGGAGCCCCCAGGCTCACTGCTGCCTTTACTCAGCAGTGGAGTAGATGTACATTGTTTACGGAGATCATTTAGCAAAGTCAACTTTGTACGCTTTGGGCCAAGAGAGGGAGAGAGAGAGAACGCGCATGCGCGTGCCTGCGAGTGAGCAGATAAGCCGTGAGGGCCTCAGCCCAACATTCCTCTCAGCGAGCTCGTGCTCTGGGGCCATGGGCTGTGAGAGGCACATCTGAGCTTTGTTGCCATGTGCATCTTGCAGGACCTTGTCATAATGATCCTAGTGTTTAGAGTTAGACATTTCTCTAATAACATAGTTCCTAGTGCAAGTACTTAGCTCACCCCGTGTGTAACTGAAGACTCAGCTATCTCTAATTTGGTTTCTAACACTGGAGGGGGACCTGACTGCTGTGGGCTCATTCAGAGGTGGCATTCAGCCTCCACTATGATGGCTTCCTAAGGTATTCTCGGGCCTCACTTTGGCTTTGGTTTTTGCCTAATGCTGACTTGAGAGCCTCATGCCTGAATGGCAGGTAGCTCCAGTAAACCGTTTTCCTTGGGGCCCAAACACCGCTCTGATCACCTCCTGCTCCTGCTGCAGGTTACCCAGTTCAGATGGACTCTCTGGCCCCTGCCGCCCTCCTGCCTCCCACCCTAGCAAGTACCAAGGTCCTCGGCCCACCTCAAACCAGGGAGTGGCTGCTGGTCCCCGAGGAGCACGGGCCGGCCGGTGGCATCGTGGACGTAAGCCAGACCAGGCTTTGTATGTGCCCCGGGTACTGCGCAGGCAAGAAGAATGGGCACCACCCCCTACCCCAAGGTTCAAGGGAGATGCTTCAGCTGGTGGCCTCCCAGAAGAGCCTGGAGATGTTGGTGTTGGGGACCCCAACTCTGATCAGGAACTCCCTGTGTTGATGACTCAGGCAACAGAGGAGCTGAAGGGCCTAGGCCAACATTATGAGAATGAGCAGCTGCTGGACTCAGTTGGCACTGAGCTCCCGGGCCCTGAGAGCCACTCAGGGACAGGAGACAGGTTGGAGACGGCCACCCAGCTTGCATCCAGTCTGCAGCTGGGTTTGCAAGAGGGGAACGGGAGTGAGCTGGAGAAGAGCCTGGCAGCAGAGGAGGAAGAGGAAGAGGAGGAGGTGGCAGAGGAGGGGCCTGGCAGCTGCGCCGAGGATGACTGCAGTGACCTGCTGCAAGAGGTGATGAGGCTCGTAAGCCCAGCAAAGGGAGGGCAGAAGTAGGTGGGTTAGTCCTGGGTGGGTGGGGACCAAGGGGTGTGGTGGGCAGGGGGCAGGATTTGCTGGCTGAGCAAGGCTGGGTGTTGGCTGATAGGGGTCCCTTAGGAGATGGGGGGTGGGGAGCATGAGGGCCTTGCCCAAAGGAGTCAGGACTGACACAGTAGAGAGGAGGAGTCTCAGGATATGGGGTCAGAGGTGTGGATTTGGGTCCCAGCTTAACCAAGTAGATGTTTGACCGTGGGCAAGTCATTTTGCTTTTCGAAGTCTCGGTTTCCCCATCTGAAGAGCGGATAATAATACTTGTTTCATAAGGTGATCTAGATAGGGACAGGATGTATATGGAATTGCTTTGTAAGGGACTACAGATGTTGGTCATGAAAACTGAAGCCTTGTCTTAGAAATCTCATTTCCTTGGAACTGCGGGTCTGCCCCTGAGACTGGCTGTGCTGTTCAGTTGGGAGGGCTGGCATCTTTTATTGCTATTTTATAGATGAAGGATGCCGACCAGAAAGACTTGCTTAGTATCACATTGTTAATAAGGGAAGGAAGATCCTGGACTTGCCCAGCTCTGTGCCTTACTGACTGCAACTTTGGTCAGAATTACTTAACTCTGATTTACAGTGTCCCCATCTGTAAAGCAGTATGTGGAGTATAGTTTTCAGGATTCTATGAAACAAATGTGTGTAAGTGCCAGTCACCCAATGAGGACTCCAGAAAAGTAAGTTCCCTGCCCTCAGACTCACGCTTCTCCGTCTTCTAGCCCGGGCTGCCATCATGGTGCCCTTCCCAGACTCCTGCTGGGCGTGGCTCCATGGGAAGCCACCTGTGGTGCTCGCTCCCCGTGGACCCAGAAGCCTGCAGGACTCTCAGTGTGCTTTTAAAAGCAGGTGTTTGGAGCCCTGTGTGTCAGAGCTCCCCTCGCTAAAGGTCTGATCCCTCCCAGATAACAGACAACCTGACGGAGAAGGAGATTCAGGTAGAGAAGATCCACGTGGACACGTCCTCCTTCGGAGAGGAGCTGCCTGGAGAGAAGGACTTCGCCCATGTGGTGGAGATCTATGACTTTGAGCCGGCGCTCAAGACTGAGGACCTGCTGGCAGCATTTTCCGAGTTCCAGTGAGTACCGGCCAGGCTTTAGGGAGGCAGGGGATGCGCGGTGCTCGCCTCGAGAGAGGAGCTCGGACATCCCTTTGTTGTTGGGGATGCTTGGCCTGCCCCTCCCCTGGTACCCAGCAATCTAGAAAGAGGCAGCAAGTGGCTGTGGTTGCTCTGGGCTCCCTACTCCTGGGCAGTTCAGCCTGCTGGCCAGGACTGTGCAGAAAAGGAGAGCCAATTTTTTGGTTCTAGACACATTCCGGAGGCCTCAGACCTGGTCCTCCTGGGCCGCGGCCGCAGACCTCCATCCTTACCCCGCCCCCCTGCACACCTTCATGCCTGCCACGACCTGGTGGGGCCCTCCATCAGCATGCAGGACGTGGGCGGCCCACTGCCTCTCCTTGTTCCACCTCCCAGCCACCCAGTCAGTCAGCTGAGGGCCATCTCCAGGCAGGAGCTATTTCTGGAGTGAACTGGGTTTGAGCACTCTGAGGCAAGATGGGAGCCAAAGGGACATATTGAGAGAACAGGCTTTTGTTTCCAAATCCCTTGGACCCAACTCTGGTCTTTTCTCCTCCTCCTCTTTCTTTTTAACGCTCATTTCCCTCTCTAGTCCCCCTTCTCTTTTCCTGCTCAGGCTTTAAAAGTCCCTGTCTGTGGCTTGCTTTTCTGACTGCTTCCTCAGCAGCCTGAGCTGGAGGAGAGGTGAAGGGGCAGCTCGGTGGGGCACAAGGGACCCTTTGCTCTCAACCCCCTGGAAGTGTGGCCAAACCTGGGCCACCGGTGGCTTCCTCGGCCAGTGTGGGCAGTGCCCACAGAGGAGCTGTCCTCATGGTCCCCAGACTCAGTGGTGCTTTCCTGAGCAGTAGGAAGAAAGTTGATCGGAGCGGTAACATTGGCGTGTCCCCACCACATAAACCCTTTTGTCTCCAGCCTCGGACCCCATGCCCTTGGCCTGGCTATGACAGTGCCTGGAGGAGCCTTCTTCCCCTTGGCATTGTGTTCTATGAACTCCTTGAGTCTGGCTTCTTCAGTTCTAGGAATCAGGGACCCACCCGATCGACAGGGTGACATTTGTCTTTCTGAGGCTAACCCTGTGGTCTGCAGGGGAAATGTGCACAAATGCTGTCTCCTTCCCGGGAAGATAGGGCCTCATCCTGGGCTTGCACTGTTTGAGGGCTGGAGGCGGGGCACTTCGTTTTGCAGAAAGGCTTTGCCATTGGCTTTTGTAGTCAATCATCTCCTCTTCTCGGCACAGGGAGAAGGGGTTCAGGATTCACTGGGTGGATGACACGCACGCACTCGGCGTCTTTCCCTGCCTGGCCTCAGGTAACGTGGCTTCACGGTGAGCTTGGCCCCTTTCTCTGGCCACCGCTGAGAAGAGAAGGAGCTTTGGTTTCCCTGGTTGGAGGGTCACCCATGTTCAGGGTGCAGGTTAACCTGAGCTGGTGGCCCGGGAGCTACTCCCAGCCACCATAGCCAGAAGTCCAGGGGGCAGAGTGGACTCTGGGCCAGGAAGCCCCTGCCAGCTCCGACATGCTGCATCTCTAGGCAGCCCAAGTACTTGGGCCCAGCACAGCCTGGGCAGTGGGGGCACGTGCCCCAGGAGGGTCTTGAGTGGGGAAGGGCAGAGTTCGTTTTAAGCTCCTGGGCTCTAGAAGGCGGGAGCCTGCGTCTCCTGGCGTCAGAAGCACAGGCCCCTGCTGTGGCTCCTGACCAGCAGAGGGGAGCGTGGCAGCCTGGCCCTGCGCAGGCTTGCTGCCTGAGCAAAGTGACCACAGTGCAGGCCTGGGGAGTCTGGGACCAGGCAAGCAGATGGTGGGCGTCTCCTGCCCAGCCAGGGGGGTCAGGATAGCCCTGTCCCTGGGCCGTGGATGGTGCGCAAAGCGGCTACGTGGGTTTGGGTGCTGTATGTGTTCCTGGGCCCTGAGGGGCCTCCCTAGGAGGTGGAGGGGATGGCTCCATGTCTGCTTTTTTTCCGTAGCTACTGAAGCCCTGACCAAGGATTTCTCAGCACTCAAGATCCGGCCCCTCACACAGGGAACCAAGCAGTCCAAGCTGAAAGCCTTGCAGAGGCCAAGTAAGGACTGGCTGTGCCTGTTGCAGCTATCTGCTCTGACCCCCAGGTGACGGTGGCCAGTGGGGCACTCCTCCCACCACCCTGGGGCCTGGGGTACCCAGGGAAGAAGGGTGCTGTTGGGGAGAGCTGCCTGCCTGCCGCTCTCTTCCGCGCTTGCCCTCCTCTTCACACCTCTTCTGGGTGTTGCCCAGGAAAAAGCTTGGTCTTTCCTGTAGGGCTGTGGAAACCAGAGTTTGCAGTGGGAAAAAAGAGCGTGGGTTTGGGGTTAGCCCTGGATGTAACTCTGGCTGTCACTCATTCAAGTTGACCTTGAGGAAGTGACCTCATGTCTGAGTTGGTTTCTTTCTCTGTAAAATAAGCAGACCATGCAGAGTAGACTGGAGGAGTGAGTGAGAGCCTGGCAGACCTGCCTGCAGCAGCGAGGGGCACGCAGAAGGTGCCACATAAACGACAGCTCCTCCCCGTTCCTCTTCCCCTTCCAGAAAGCATGATGGCGGCTTTTAAAGGCCAGTTTTCTGTGGCTCCAGAGCAGTGGCTGGCAAAACGGGCCTGGAAGAGGCCTGCTGAAGCCATCCACGCTCCTGTGGGTCGTGTGGCCCTGGTCCCAGACTGCTTGAGGACAATGAATATCTTGTCTGTGAGCCCCAGAGCCCAGGTGTCCGACCCTGACTTGGTTTCCCTTTCAAAGGGCCCTACAAAGCAGGGAGCTGGCAGGATTAGCTCCCCACAGAGGGAGAAATGCCGAGCACAGGGAGCTGGCAGGATTAGCTCCCCCCACAGATGGAGAAATGGGGAGCACAGGGACCTGGCAGGATTAACTCCCCCACAGTTGGAGAAATGGGGAGCCCAGGGAGCTGGCAGGATTAACTCCCCCACAGATGGAGAAATGCGGGGCACAGGGAGCTGGCAGGATTAACTCCCCCCACAGATGGAGAAATGCGGAGCCCAGGGAGCTGGCAGGATTAACTCCCCCCACAGATGGAGAAATGCGGAGCCCAGGGAGCTGGCAGGATTAACTCCCTCCACAGATGGAGAAATGCGGGGCACAGGGAGCTGGCAGGATTAACCCCCCCACAGATGGAGAAATGCAGAGCCCAGGGAGCTGGCAGGATTAACTCCCCCCACAGATGGAGAAATGCGGGGCACAGGGAACTGGCAGGATTAACCCCCCCACAGATGGAGAAATGCGGAGCCCAGGGAGCTGGCAGGATTAACTCCCCCCACAGATGGAGAAATGCGGGGCACAGGGAGCTGGCAGGATTAACTCCCCCCACAGATGGAGAAATGTGGGACACAGGGAGCTGGCAGGATTAACTCCCCCACAGATGGAGAAATGCGGAGCCCAGGGAGCTGGCAGGATTAGCTCCCCCCACGGATGGAGAAATGCGGGGCACAGGGAACTGGCAGGATTAGCTCCCCACAGATGGAGAAATGGGGAGCACAGGGAGCTGGCAGGATTAGCTCCCCCACAGATGGAGAAATGCAGAGCCCAGGGAGCTGGCAGGATTAACTCCCCCACAGATGGAGAAATGCGGGGCACACAGAGCTGGCAGGATTAACCCCCCCACAGATGGAGAAATGCGAGGCACAGGGAACTGGCAGGATTAGCTTTCCCCACGGATGGAGAAATGCGGAGCCCAGGGAGCTGGCAGGATTAGCTCCCCCCACAGATGGAGAAATGCAGAGCACAGGGAGCTGGCAGCATTGGGTCCGGACCCCACAGGGGCCCTGGAGCCCTAAGCAGGCCCCTTCTCTCTAGCATATGGCCACACAGGGCACAACTGCGCCTTAGAGGCTGGCTCACATGGCTTCTCAGGCTGCTTTGTTGCTTGGGGGACAGGCGGCCGTAGCCTCGAATTCAAGCCCCCACCCTATGGGGCTTTCTTTTCAGAGCTCCTGCGTCTGGCAAAGGAGAGACCACAGACCAACACAGCTGTGGCCCGGAGGCTGGTGGCCCGGGCCCTGGGGCTCCAACATAAAAAGAGAGAGCGGCCTGCTGTCGAGTCTCCTACCTCCTTGAGGCCCTGAGAGGCCCACAAGCCTGGATGGGCACCCTCAGGACTAAGCAGGTACCCGAACACCACAAGCCTTTACGGCCACCAGAACAGCCTGCGCCATCATCAGAGCATCACTGTGGGGCGTGGGGCGCTTTAGTTTGGTCTAGTTCCAGAGTCAAGAAAAAATAAAGACTTGAATGTTGTTATAATGTGATTGTTTTAAAATGTGACCGTCTGCCATGGGACACTAGGAAGTGCTGTTTGTATCCCATTTTGGACCTGGGGCTGCAGAAGCAATTGGTCACTCTAGGAGACTGGCCTGCAGGATCCCAGCTGGGCCTTGAGGGCATTTTTGCACAGAGCCTGCCCAGTTGGGGGGTTGTCTCCACCTGTTGCGTGACACCTGCTCAGTCTTCCCCCAGGCCTTGTGTTGTCTGTTGGTTACGAAAGTGCTCCTTGCAGAAGTAGACAGGAACAAAGCCAAGAGGTGAACTCCTGAGTGCCTGCTGAGTCTGCCTCCCTCACAGGCACGGATGCAAGGACATCTCTCTGGTGACAGGGTCCCAGCGTGCTCATTTTTCTGGTTTAGGTGGAATTAGTGCTGAGGTGGTCCCACCCAGCACTTTGAGGATGTTGGGGCCCCCTCTGATTTGCTGGGCCGTAGCACACTCGACACAAGTGGGAGCCCCCGTGTCTTGTGAGAGCACTGGCTCCTCGGCCCCGCCTCGCTGCGCTGGGAAGGGCTCTGAGCCCTGTCTGCCAACCCGAGTGCTCACCATCGCTGCCCCCTCCCTCGGAGCCCCGCCCAGCACCGCCCTTTTTTTTTAAGGCTCCTGAGAGTTTAAATCGAGAAGTCCCCTCTGGTCCTAACAAGTGCTGCACCCCGACAAATTCAGTAAAAAATGAGAGTTCTAGAAAGGCTGTGACTTGTGTTTTTGTTGGTTTTTGTGATCTCCTTGGGCTGTGCTCTCAGAGCAGGAGTTGCTCCTTTGGAGGTGCACTGAAGGCAGCCCAGAGCCCAGCTCTGCAGGAGGGGCCCGAGTGTGCGACCACATGAAACCTGTGGCTCAGGCAGGTGCAGAGGCCCCAGTGAAACGCAGACACGTGTCATAAACCTTTTATTCAAAGTTTCAAGTATGTGTAAGCGTCCCTGATGACACAAGGCGTTGGGTGAGCGTCCTCGTCACAGGACCTTGGTTGCAGCACCTCTGAATCAGTAATCCACAGAATTGGAGCAACAAAGATGAGCCACTCACACAGGTAAGGTGGATTTTCTTTTGAGTTATACTTTCAAAGGCCCAGATGCCCAATATTAAATGCCACTAAATTACTTTGTGTTTCAAAGTCTGTGAAAATAGAATAACAGTATCTTAAAAATAAGAGGATGGGGGGCGGGCTGCGGGAGAAGCACCGACTGAACTCCCCACTCAGAGAGCACGAGGCAGCATTGTTTACATGTGTGAGTAGAAGCAAGGACTTTGTTTAGAGGTCTAGATACTCAGGTTGGCTGGAGACAACCTAAGAGGAAAAATGGGATTCGGCCTGACCTTGGGTTATGGTCACACTGCCAATGTAACTTGAGAAGAAAATGGCCCCACGTCGTCTGTGGTGAGCTGAGCGGGGAGGTGTCAGACTCAGGGTGGAGTGTGGTTTGGATGGATGACACCCTGTGCCCCTGGGGTCCCGGACAAGTGGCTGTTGGCAATGCTCCCACAGCCCTGTGGATGAGCCCCACCCCAGAGGCCTTCCCAGGCTCCAGCATCAGGAACAGCCCTTCCTCCTGAGTTTGGACATGGCTTCAGGGGTCGAGATGGGGCAGGGGTTGGGCTGGGTAGGGGGAGTGTGGTGATGGGTCACAGTTGTTGGGGAGGCTGCGCTGTGGCCCAAAGGCACGAGGTGACCACGGAGACTGCTTTACCGCGAGGAGAGCTGGTTATTTATGAGTCCACTGAAGTGTTCAAACTTTCTTTCCGTCTCTTCGCTGAAGGAACCACCTGAGGGGTGGGCAGCAGGGGGACAGAGTTTGGCAAACTGGATGCAACCCCCTCACCCAGGCAGGAGCGGTCGGCCTCAGGGGCCCTGGAGCCAGCGCCCTCCACCAGGTGGCCTGCAGGGGCCATCTCTATGTGACGCCACCAGGGCAGCAACTAGGTGCTGGTCGTCTCTCCGGCCAGGCACGCGTCGTGTGCTCTGTCAAGGTTGGGCGGAGGAGTGAGTAATATAGTGCATTTAGTTTTTGCCTTCACCAAGGGTAAGGGCCACCGCTCTTCCTGTAGAAGAGAGCACTGCTTCCCCTCTTGTCCCCAGGCTGTGTGAAGCAGGGAAGTTCCTTGATGGGTGACCAGAAGCCAGTGGTTCACTAGCTTCTAGTTCTCAACAGAGGACAGTGATACAGAGAGCCCACAAATTGCTGATGCCCGTGTTTTTGAGGTCACATGCATAATGAGGTGGTGGCCTCAGCTCCAGCCCTTAAATAGCTTTGGGGTCTGGGCTGGCTGGTTCTATACTGCCCTCTCTCTTTGGCCAGAGCTGGCTGTGAAAACCCAGTCTCCATCCAGGCTGTGTGTGTCCACAGCGTCCCTCCTGCATGTGGAGATGCGAGGCTGGCCCCACCCCCGAGCTCTTTACCCAGACGAGGAAGCTGCTCTGCTTCCTTGAGAAAGCAGGACAGCTCTTGCCTGTCTCCTGCAGGGGCCCTGGCAGGCCTGGGGGGCAGCCCTGAGGGTGCAGTGCCCCCTGGAGTGCCGGGGGCCTTACCTATGTGGCAGTTGTACATCCAGATGCGGTGGCCGTCGTAGCGGGCCCTGCACTTCATGATGTTGTTGGTGAAGTCAGACTCGGCAACCTCGTAGTAGGGGTTAATGACAACCTGGGGGAGAGCAGGTCGAGGGGGCTGCTGAGTCCCGCCCTGGCCCCAGAGCCGGGATGGCTCACAAAAGGGAGCATGGCAGGGGCTGTGCTCCAGGAGCAGCTGGGGGCAGGACAGCCAGAGGTAAGGTCAGGGAGGCAGAGAGGGGCAAGGCCCAAAGGAGTGAGACCTCCATGCACCTGTCTGTCTGTCTCGTGTAATTCACACACACCCCTACCAAGAGCTGGCCTCCAGAAGGGGTTACCCTCTCCTGGGTGCCCTGGGAGGCTTGAGGTTGGCAGAGAGGCAGGAGTTGGGGCCTGGGGAGGCCACAGAACAGGCTGTTGATGGGAACTAGACAGGAGCTGGGGAGCAGGACTTGCTGGGCGGGGTGGGGACAAGGACTGGGTGGTGTGGGAAGTGGGAGGATGGCGCCCTGGGCCTTGGCGATGCTGCTGCTCCTGGCGGTGTGACTGTGGACCGAACCTTCCGCTCTCCGGGTCTTGGCGTTGCTCTGGGTGATCCTCAAGCCCCTCCTGCTCGGGCCCAGAGTCCAGGGCTCTGGGGGAGACTGCGCCCTGCCTTGTACCCCCTTCCTGTGCATTGCCCCAGCTAAGAGGGCATAGCCCAAGGGAGCAGGAATAGGAAGGATAGTCGTGTGAGTGAGCGGACAGTAAAGGGAGATTTGCGGTGAGGAACCCAGAAGAAAAGACAAAGGGGAGGGAGGGGGAGGGGCAAAAGCTGCACCTGGGACTGTGGGTGACGGTAACGAGGACGGACACAAGTGAGCCCCTCCCTCAGGACCGCACCTGCAGAAGGGCTGTGGCCCTATGGGGGGACAGGGGCAGAGCTGCCCCAGGGCAGTGGTGATGGGGAGGGACAGCGTCCAGGTTTGGGGCCCTCAGGACCTCTCCCTCCAGAAGGGCCTGGATCTGACCCTTTAGCAGGGCCATGTCCCTGCTGGGCCTCCCAAAGACACGCTGTGGGAGACAGGCCAGCACGGGCCCAACCTGTGTCCTGGCCCAGCGCGGCCGTTCGGGGGCCCTAGGCTGTGTCCTGCTGTTACCCCGTCTCTTCAGCTAAGGTGGGTAAATGTCCCACTCTAGGGGGTCTTACTTGTCTTTGATTTCTACCCAACAGTCTTAGCTGTCCCCTGCCCTCCGCCATGCTGCACAGTGTTCAAACAAACCACACACTGAGGCCCACGCGGCTCCTTGCCCACCGACAGCCGCCCCCACGGGGCCCAGCTGGGCATCCCTGCAGGGAGGGCAGCACGGCTCTCCGGGTCAGCTGGGGGCCGGGGGGGGGGGTGCTGAAATATGGGGTCTCCACAGCCCCGTCTCACTCTCAGATTCTGCAGTTCTGGATCCTGTGAGGATCTGCGGGAAGTGGCTTTAGTTTCTTAGAAAAACAATCTGCTGTGAATCCAGGAAATGGTGAGAACGAGGATAAAGCAAGGCCGCCAGGAACCTGTAAGCCACTGAACCCTGCCGCCAGCCTGTGGCACAGGCCCTGCTCCTGTAATGCACGTCCCCCTCACTGGCTTTCTCTGTCGCGGGCAGCATGACTGATGGCTGCGCTTGGGTCACGTGGGAACGGAGGGGGAAGTGAATCCCAGGCCAGGGCTCTCGCACGTCTATGCCAAGGCAAGTAGTCTCTTCCATTAATCAGAGGTGCTAACCTGCCCCTAATGAGTTGATTTGCTAACGGTATAGTTTAGGAGTGGAGAACACAGCACATTGAGTATCGTGACGTGAGCTGGGTTTGCCTGGCTGTAAAATGAGGTCATGGTATGCCCTTCCCTGGGGGATTACACAGACCATGCATTCACAGGCCTAGGCAGGGCCTGGCCCCGTGTCTATCTTCAATGAGCATAGTTATTTAAATAGATGGTATTTGTCAGAATACGCGACGATACACTCACTCAGCAGAGCGATAGCAAACCTCAGGCATACACCACCCTGCAGAGCGTGCGTGCACAGAGACACAGGCATTCACTGTGAACTAAAGAGCAGTCTGCTCTGGTTGGGCTCTCCAAGTCTGCGGTTCTGGGCTTCTGGGTGGAAAAGCGCTTGGCTGTCTGATTTCCAGCCTCTGGAATTGCCCAGGGAAACGTTCAGAGCCCCTCTGTGGTCCCTTCTCTGCAGGTGTTCCTTCTTCCCAGGGCTGTCTACGGGGTGGGGACCATAGACCAAGCCCTCGGCTGGCTGAATGTCCCCTTGGGAAAGCTTTCAAGGCAGAATGACACATTTCTGGTCAGCCACTTTGCCACCCAACAGGGCAAGCTTGGAAGCAGGATGGGTGGACATGTGGGAGAAATGAGAGGGTGGTAGGCAGGAGCGCACCTGAGCACCAGCAGGG